GTCGTACCTCAATAGCCAAACTAGCTTTAGATCCAATTAGTTCGACCTGGGCAACTACAGTAGGTCGAGGTAGAGATGTGTATAAGAGACAGGGTGTACAGGGTGCTACAAAACAAGAACCAATGCTTAGCTTTCAAACGTCGTACCTCAATAGCCAAACTAGCTTTAGATCCAATTAGTTCGACCTGGGCAACTACAGTAGGTCGAGGTAGGTCGTGCACTCAATTTTTTATTWTTTTTTTTTACCCAAGCTGTGTCTCACCCGAACAGAATGTCCGGGTCCTTATAGGCTTATAGCTGTGTTTGGGGCAACTTGAAGTCTAGATACGTTCTATGCGGGGAAAAGTAACTAGGGAAGTTCTACGGAAGTTCTATCAATAATCCAATCATGTGTTGGCAAGCAACGATGCTCCACCTGCCACAAGACACTATTCTTGCAGGTTTATACATCAGAGTTGGTTTGCTATGGTCTAGTAGTTTGGCTGCTTTGGTCACTTTGCCTGAAGTCCTATACCTGTAGCGTCTTGTGCATCAGTGTTGGTTTGGTATGCTCTAGTGGTTTGGGTGTTTTGGTTAATTTGGCAGAAGTCATATACCTGTTGGTCTCAGAAGCATCTGGGTTTTCCCCAACAATCAAGGTCATTTTCTCTAGTCTTTAGACTGTGATACACCAGGGCTTAATTTTTTAGATCTGGCACCCGATAGCTGGGTGAACAGGTAAGACTTGCAGTCTCGTATTTTGTCGTAACATGTCTGGTCATTTCTGATTATGTTCCAAGGGGATGCCGGACCCAATTTCCAGCAGGTGATGCTCCCTCCCCATCAATAGATGGAGTGGATTCTGAAAAAGAAAAGAAAAGAAAAAATGATGAGGGATGAAGAGGAGGAGGAGGAGGATATTGAGCAGGGGTTTGGAGAGAAAATCATTATGTGGGAATGTTGAGTGCGCTGCTTGCAGTTAAGGAGGCTCTGAAGTTATGAACACTCACCACTTGCTGGGCCCCACTTGGCTGGATGGTTCCCTCAACAGGGCTTACAAGGAACAGTTCTTTCACCGTGGGAGGCCGCATATTAAATGATATTTTGAAGGCGACGGGGTACTTTCCTCCATTGGTGATAGAGAAAGTCTTCAGAACATCCGAAGAAACTTTGACAATCCCAAAGTTAAGGCCTCCAATGGGTGGCAGTTCGTCCGATGAGCTGGGGAACTTTATGTCTGTGCTGATTTGGTAAGCTTCTCCAGTGATCTTCAGCTTTTCCTCTTGTGCAGTGGGAAGCAGCTCTTGGACATCAGTAACCTTCGAAACATGGAAAGAGAGCAGGTGTGAGTGGGAAGCGAAATTAAGAGAGACCAAAATGGAAGCCAGTGGGAAAGGGGCCGGAGTGATGCTCCCCAGAATGGAAAAGGAGCCAGGACCATAAGGCCCTGTTTTCATGACAAAAAAATGAGGGAAAAAAAAAAGAAAAGAAATTGAAACAAAATAGTAAAAATCAGAAAACAAACTAAATTAAAAAAATTGAACAAACAGCATAACAGACAAGTGAAAGGTGGTGGTCGGTCAGTCCTTTCAATCGGACGCACTCAACTGTGGTCTTCATGACTGGGCGTTTTATTTGGGAAAAGACGGTAGCCAGGGCCTCCCACGCCTTATCGGGTGTACTGTGTGTGTATTCGCTTGTTCCGACTTACCGGTGCAATGGGAGTCGTGCCGCTGTTCCCCCAATCTTTAGGAGCACTGGGTAACAAA